TCGCACACATGTGCAAGACTGTGATAGTGATATCATATTTCGCAGCATTTAAGCGACAAAAGTTTTGCAATGAACATAGTATCGATCTGGTTTCGACATCGCTTCTAAACGATCGGTTGCTAACTTGAACAAAGTTGCACCCCGGTACTATGTTCATTGCAAAACTAGTGTCGCTCAAATGCTGCAAAATATGGTATCACTATCACACTCTTGCACACGTGTCTAGACTGTCGCCTCGCCACAAAGCGAGAAATCAGAATATCGCTACAAATCGATGTTGCTACTGAACATAGTGCATCAAGCTACAAATTACTTTGCTATCGCTTTGAAACATGAACAAATTTGCACCCCGGGGCTTATTAAGTTCTGTTATCTATGCTTATGTCACATGTCTGCTTTGAGGGTGCAGCCATAAAATAATAAATACAAGAAGAAGTGTCAAGTCAATGTTAAATTATGGAAACAGCGTGGCTGCCTGGGTAACTAATTTTCAGATATGGCGGCTGGGACATTTGACATGACATAGACACGACATAGACATGACAATTTCAATTTTATGAAATTTATTTCCGTTCCAGTTTTTAATGGCGGGCTCTTCAGGAGGTTTAAATGAGGGTTAATATACTTTTTACTCTTTCTGGGAGTAAATAATACAACAAAATTACTCAAAAATATTTATTTGGAATTTAGAACAATGTAAATATGCAAATCAACACAATTAAAGAGCTATAAACACATAAACTACTGTATCAATATCAAATATTTAAATAACATCAGAGATGCTGTGTTAAAGTGAATTAGTAAAATAACAGTAACAGACTTACAGAAACTTGAAGATAAATAAATGTTTTCACAACTTCTCGGGCGTAAAACTAAATAACTGGAAGCAGGAAAAAGACAACAGGAACCCACGCAAAACCTGGAATCAAAAAAATATATAAAAAAACATAAATATAGGTACATAAGATTTTTATGAATTAAATCAAACAGGACTTGAATAAAAATAAAATGAATAAAAAATATGATACATATACATCTAATACCTAATTTGTATTTTAAAAATAATCTACATACATAGATTTATAGCATTATTGCTATGAAAATACATAATAGATACATATGTGATTAATTAGGCATTTCTGTTCATCTTGTAGATAATTAATGTAGGCTAATAATAGTTCAATAATCATAATTTACCTTGTACAGCTTGCTTTCAATTGCTCAAAATCACCGATCAGTCTTTAAAGTAGAGATACGGAAAAATCCTTGGTAAAGAATATCCCAAGATCCTTGGGTCTAAAGCTAAAAGAATATAAAAACAGTTAGTATATTACCTATTTTTACATATAATATGGCCCATACCTACTACACGCAGAAACGTCGATTTCATCATTTTCTTCATGTAATTAATATCATATATACTTTATTAAAGTGTTAACAAGGAACTTTATAACAAAAAACATCTTTGTACTTATAAATTTCAGCCGAAATATCATAAACAAACTTCCAATCAAATCTAAACGACAAAAATTAAAATGGCGCCCGACCCATAAAATAATTAACTAGAAAGAAGTGTCAACTCTGTGTTAAATCTTGGAAACACGATACGCCACCGAAAGCCTTCGTTGTCGTCTGGAGAACTAATTTTCCAATTGACAGGTTGACATGATAAGGACATGATGGCTTAATTTTCATTTCCGTTTCCGGTTATTCAATGGCGGGCCCTCTTTCAGTTCAAATGTATTTTGTATTTTTTCTTTTCATAAATAAAACCAAAAAATAATTTATTCACATATATTTATTTGAAATATGGAACAACGTGACTAAATAAATATAAAAAATAAAGAATTGAATGATTTCTACAGCAATTACTTAATTATATGCAATTTTAACGTAAATTAGTTAAGGTATAAGCATGACTTACATTAATTTGTAAATAAACACACGTATTCGCAGACTTCAAGGACAGAAAACGGGGGCAGGAACATGAAAACGGGAGCCTTATACAAAAACCTGAAAACAGAAAAACAAATTTTTTTATACTAAAATTGACAATGTAAAAATATCAACAGGTATAAAATATAAATATACTGTTTAAAAAAAGCGTCCATTATTCCCAAAGAGACCTGGCTTATAAATCAAAAAGAAGCAAAAAGAGACTTTTAGTCGGATAACATAATCAGATTATCAGTCCGATTTATTGCATTACTGACAATAAATGGCACATACTGGAGATAACTAATGTTGGCTATAGTTAAAAATGATCTTACCTTGCTGTAAATTATTTCCATTTTCAAAAAAATGGCCGATCAAAGAGATTACACCATTTTTTTGCATCTAAAAATGTAAAAACAGTGTTTATTTACTACTTATTTTTCATATACATAGGACATACCTACTACTGCAGAAACGTCATTTTCTCCAGGATTCTTCATGTAATATATATTTTATATACTTTATTACCTTTATATTTATAAATTTCAGCCGAAATATTAAATTGAACTTCCAAAACGAAACTAAACGGAGTGAAATTTTAATTGTTAAAATGGCGTCGAATATTTTCTAATTTGTTCTAGAACAAATCTGAAGTTGTCTCTGAAACTGAAATCTGTCAATTCTAAACACTGTGAAGTTAGACAATAGTTAGACAGAAACATTGCTGTCCTTGTCTCGGCGGCCATACTTGTCGTGAGGAGAATGACAGGAATGACACTAATGACTGTTTCCAATTTTCCTATTTCACTGTCACCCCCCTGGCCCGACCTTGCCAGAGGCCTCGGGAGTTGACACATGGCTAACACACAGACAAAAGAAGAGGACGCCGACGTGCATAAAAATGTTCCGTAACAGAAATTGACAGAAATCATATAAAATATTCAGATTTTTGTCTAGGACAGTCTAGAACGCCATGCTTTCTGCCTGGGTAGGACCGCGCCAGAACTGTTTCCAATTTTCCGGTTTACTGTCACCCCCCTGGGTGCAGCCAGCCACATTATCCTAAAAACGGCGTATCGGCGTAACGGCGTAATGACCTTGAATAGATTTCCAGTAATTCTATTGACTGAAACATTCATCTGTCAGAAGTTTTATCTGTCAAATTCATCTGTCAAAAATTTCAGCCAATAGAATTACTGGAAATCGCTTTCAAATCGTTACGCTGTTACGTCCATACGCTCACCATTAGAATAACGTAACTGCACCCTCTCACAAAAGGCTTGTGCAAAAGGCTTGACATGTCTGTCTGATGTCCACTGACAGATATACTCTGTTTTTTTTCTCAGGTAAGATTTCGACAGACGATGACAGAAAAAAAGCAGATGACGTCCCATACCAATCTATTTATTTTACTAAAAAAAGTTTCTAATAATTTTTAAGTTAACTATGGATGGGTTTAAATATAAATCCGTCATGCGTCGTCTCTTGTTGTTTTTAACCAGTTTTATTGGTTTATTTAAAAAATGACAGATCGTATTTCAATTTTATTGGTTTGACGGAACGATGAATGACAAACGGACGCCGATGCGTATGAACTCGCCTTTAGATTTTTGACGCTTGTCAAAGACTTGCCAAATTAGAGGTTATAATTTTGTGTCAACTTTTGTCAGTTTTGTCAAATACCCTGCGTTTTGGAAGATGATGCATTTTGATTTGTGTTATTACGTGTGTTTTGTGTCTTTTGAAGTCAAGTGGAGGAAAAATCGAGTGAAAATTAACTGTAGACCCAGAGCACAGTTTATGGTTAATACTCGCTGCCTAGGCAAAAAGTCTTATACACCAATAAAATTACCATCGTTAAAGTTCGTATACCATCTCGTCGTAGATAAGTGCATCTCGAATATGGTAGAAGTACCATAGTAAACACATACTAAAAACTGGAGTAGCTGTAAAATATCGACATCACACGATACGTAAATAATGGGTTTTAGTACTGCACAAGAAAAATAATGCCAAAGGTACTGGTTTAAAAAATTAAGATTAAATTAATTAATCAACCTTTAAGGTACCCATAAAATTTGGTAAGTGTTATTAATAATGCAAATAGTTTGTTTTATTTATGTTGTTTTATTTATTCCTGCGGAATAGCACCAAAAACACACTCCACTTAAGCTTTATTGATGAATTGTTAGAGTCTTAAAAAACACACACAAAAATCACGATAAGTAAAAAATGTATGGGCACTTTTAGGTTAAATCACTTACACAACGTGTAATTTTTCAATTTTTCTATTTTTTTATGCGAAACCGAGAGTGACCATATATCTGGTAGTAGTTTATGTCACTTAAACACCAAAATAATTAGTTTTTTGCATTACAATAATAAATAATACCAAAAATCAAAGAGTTAAAACCAACATACAAAATATGAAACAGAATCTAACCCAATATCTAAGTATGTACAGCTGATGAAGTAAACAAAAGTCCGCCTCGAGGCTGATCTTTTAATAGAAGGCACTGGCTTGTGCAAAAGGCTTGACATGTCTGTCTGATGTCCACTGACAGATATATGAAAAGTATAACCTCAATTTTTTTAATATTTTGTTTAAGAAATTATATATTAGCTGTTATTATAATTTATAATATATATAAATAGAGTTTAATTTATGAACATATTAACACAAATAGTGGTTCTCATTCATTCAGGTTTTATTTATCATTTGGAGTTTTCCTGTGTATTTGATATATATGGTACCATAGTACTGTGAAATCCTTTTCTCTGTTTTTCGGTTTCTCGGTTATCTTCTGTCTCTATTATAAAACAGGTGACTGCTTTACAATAATTCATGGGATAAAATATTTTTGATCTATTGCGCTATTTTTTAAGTATGAAATCCAAATTTTAAGATTTTATATCGAGCCAAATATTAGAAGTCTTGTTAAATATCTGGTGGTTACTAAAATCAATTTATATTTGCCACTTTATCTAATAGTAATGAAATAGACTGTGATTGTAATATATTTTAAGCTATATAAAATATACATACATAATTGTAGAAATTTTAGAAACATGAAATGAATCTTTCACAACGATGAATTATTTGGAACAGTATGTTAATGATGTATGGGCTTATAGCTCCAGGTATAACAATATAGGTAGTTATTCATATGCACCAATAAACTTAATTGGAAAATATGAGAGATATCCTGCTTACGGAGATTTTCCAGAGACTTATTTTTTGGTATTAAAATCATTAAGGTGAGTCATGTTTTTTAATCAATTAATGATTTATTTTTTAGAGGACATACGGAAAATGGTGGAAACAAAGTGGTTCTTCACAAAAGTGTTATAGATTTCAAGATTGCGATAAACTCGTAGAAGATTTTGTTATTGTCGGGTGAGTGTTTTACTTATTGAGAGAATAGCATCTGTCAACATCATCCTATCTCTCGATGGACTGATCTCTATCCATAATCTTATTTTGTGTATTTTTTGTTATATGCCACATTTATTTTTGTTCATGATTTTATTTTGTTCTGTTAATTTTAGATTTGGTTGTGCTGTTATACCAACAGATATTTGCATATATGAAATATATAATCCTGGTGCTATTATTAGAATATGGGGAGCATGGACGGTAGATAAAAAATGGCATCTATTATGGGAAGATCACCCACAAAAATGTGATCCAGTTTCTAGAAAATTTTGCCCCTCATTACGGAAATTAAATTGTTTAGTGAAGTATGTTTTTTTGTATAGTATAAAAATATATTTTTTTACCCATAAGAAAAACATGAAAGTGTGAAATAATGGAGAGAATTTTGTTTAATGTTTATTATTTTAGTTTAATTAGAATTGAATTCAATTCAAGTTATTTGGAGTATCATACAGCGATAGATGCAATTCTTCTAGGCGGATATCAACCAGAAACAAATTTACAAACACAACTGGCCAATAAAGGGTTACTTCTATTGCAGCCTTCATCAAATGATACTCCAAATGTTACTGAAAAAGAAGACTCATTACAAATTAACGATAAGGATTATTTTTCTTCTTTACCTGTAAGAATAAGTATATAATCAAACACATTTATGATGTTTTATTATTTGCAGAATGAAATTATTTTAAAGATCTTTCAGTATTTAGATTTGAAATCTCTTAGTAGGTGTGCACAAATTAATAAGAGATGGAATACTTTATGTCAGGACCAAACACTTTATCAATGTATTAGTTTAAAGGTAATAGGTAGTAATTACTATACTCATCAACATACAATGACTGATTTTGTTTTTTTCTGCAATTTATTATTTTAGATTTATTGGCATTTAGTAGATACAAAGGCAATAGAATATTTTCGAAAAAAGAACATTAATGTAAAGAAACTTGATCTTTCATGGTGTGATCAAGGTCAAGTTTATGGACAACATATATTGAACTCTGAGTATTACATCCAATTACGAAAGTATGTTTCGACAGACGACATTGAAAAAATGATAGAAAATATAGTTTACCTTTGAATTAAAATGACAGACAACTATTATTACTGTCATGTATTGTCTTGTAGGATTGATTTTATGATGTATCATTTCTTTGATATAAAACCAACATTTTATTTAATCTCAATTATTTATTATTTTTTAGTTTTTTAGATGAAATTAAGCATACAGTTACACATATTAGTTTAAATGATAACTATTTTGTTGATAACAATATCATGAATGTGATTTCCTCATGCCATGATTTAGTCGGTAAGTATATAGTAGTCACTTTTAATTAGCGATGGGAACTATCGAATGAATTAGAGTATCGAATGGTTACTGAATGAATGATTTCAACTATCGAATGGTTTTATTCGAATAAAATCATTCATTCATTTGTATACTAAAGCATATGCGACAACCTCGCCATGCGACTAAATGGTTATCGTTGAGCCACGACTATTGAATGCTTTTGATAAATGAAATTTACTATTCGTTTGATTTTTGTGTGCGTCAGTGCATTATTAGTTCTTCCAAATTTTTATAACTTCGCCTTATAAATACTGCGCTATATTTGCGTTTATTAAAATATTTAAAATATTAAAATAGTATTTTTTTTAATTGACGCTTGTGTGCGTGTGCAAAATTTTTCCGAAAATTTGTATGATTTTCCGTAGCCCGATCTTTCAATTATTTTATTTTATATGGTATATGGTCTATTTTTTAATGGGAAATTTTGAGAAGTAGCAATTTTTAAGAGAGATGAGATGAACTTAGAATTAATTTTAAAAATACATATTTGTATTTTAGATGTTTTAATAATATAAATTAGTTGAACTTAATAATCATATTTAAGTAATGTGGTTAAGTAAATGGTTATCGAACTCAAACCATGGGGTGAGAAAATTAAATTGAAAGTTTTACACGTGCCTATTTTAAAAAAAAAGTTAACGATGTTTGTATTTTGTTTATGCTAATTCTCTTACATGTAGTTTTTCGCGAAGAAATATTTCATTTATTTTTTAAAGTAAATGCCAGTAAAAGTAAATATTATTTTTAAAGAGTAATATAAAGTACCTAATATAAATAATTTTGATTTCTAATTTTTTATTTATATTTTCCTTCCATTACATTGCATGCTTAGAAAATTAATAAATGTTTATATTTCATGATTTTAAAGTTTGTTTTTAATATAACAAATTAGTTCTGTAATTATTATTATTTAATAAACCAATGTTGCCAAAAAATTTAAAGACTATATTATTTTTAAATAGGATCTAATATAAATAATTTTGACATCTAATTTGTTGTTTATATTTTGCTACTACGTAAAAAAAAATGTTTATATTAAATTATTTTAAATTTTGTTGTTAATAGGTATAACAAATTATTACTGTTATTATTATTTTTATTAAACCAGTCTTTGCTTAAAAACATTAAAAATCATTTTCCTACATCCAAAATAACAAGTATTATTGCAGTGTAACAACAGAATATTAATAAAAAAATGCAAAATATATAGACATACTATCCCTAACTAACTAAAGCCAAACAATAATATTCTTTGCTAATATAAACAAGGCTAATATCAACTAGTACCAATATATGGCAACAGCGCCCTTCATAATGTATTTTTTGTGTAAATACTAGCACCTCAATAAAAAAAATAATGTGTCCTTATCTTTATATGACTCCGCAAAAAATCAAAGATGCCGGCTTCTTTCATAGCATTGCCACCGACCGCTGTCGGGTTTCTCGGAAAGAAACCTACGTCGCCGGGCGACAACTAAAATCCAGTTAATATTTTATTATAATCGATCCTGACGAATAAATGAATTTCAATAATGAATGAATTTTATAAATGAATGGTTCTTGCTGCCGAATTACTAGAATACAATATTTCAAGGCAGATGACGCATCTATTCGATAATTTTTTTATTTGAATAGTTTTCAACGAATGTTTTCTTACTAGCTATCGAATTATTCGAATGAATTGCAACTATCGAATGTTTCGATAGTATTCATTCGATAGTTCCCACTACTACTTTTAATGTCTCTTAGATTGTAATGTTACTTTTATATTTATGCATTGTTTAAATTAATTTAAACTACTGTTATGCCATTAAATAGGCTGATTTTAACATTCTAAACTGACGTGTTACAGAATTAAGACTACATAATACTCTCAATTGGCATAGAGCACCACTTTATTTTTCAACGAAATTGGTAACATTGGATCTGAGCTGTACACATGTTCAGGATTTGGACCTGATAAAAATACTTCAATCAACTATTAATTTGGAACATCTGATTTTGGGTATGACCTATTTTAATAATTAAATATTAATATTAAACATCTGTTCAAATTAGCACACAATTTGATTGCAGGTTTTCGGTTATTTTGGATGTCTTATTAGATTTTTTGTGTAAATTTTTTATTTGTCTGTCATCACAAGCGGAAAACAAAGGAGAAAGTAAATAATATGATTATTTACTTTCTTATTTTATTTACTGCCTCTTTAGAATTAGTGTGTTTTTAACATAGCCATATGGCACTCTAGATTGAATTTTAAAATACAATTTTTTATTAAGCGAGAATGTCAAAAGTTCACATATGATATGACATTCTATTCAGAATGCCATTTTCTGTCGAATAAAGTAAAAAAATACCAATGGTGCCATTTAAAAACCAAAAATTTTAGTCATTTCCGGTGAAACAGCAAGTGACCAAAATCAATTAAATACACCAATCAATTCTAACTTATGCCATATACTAACATACTAAATTCATATACGTATTACTTTTTACAAATATACTCAGCCTAATCTCCAAAAAGTGAAGCCCAAACAGTGAAAGAACAATATGGAATTCTGCATAAGTCTATTTCACCCGGATATTCATTTAACTGAGCATGCCTCACCTGAAGAAGTTTTCATTGGTCGATGTTTTTAAAGGGAAGTGGTTGACTGACATTTCCCCTAACCTTCAATTTGATTTATATTTTTATTATTTATAACACATTATCATGGAGTTGGAAAAATATAAAAAAATAGTTGGAAACAATAAACTAAACAAAATCACTCTTTTACGCGCACAAATAAAAAGTAATCCAAACAGAACTAAAACAACAATCAATCGGAGTTTGGCGCAATCGCAGTTCAATCTATATCCGGGTGAAATAGACTTATGCAGTTTTAATATGGAGCTGGGTTATGTTGTCTTTTTCTTACGGCACAGAAATTGCACACGGGGTTAAATAGGGAACCCTGAGTATATTTGTAAAAACTAATACGTATATGACTAAATCTCGTTTTTTTATCTGAAAACATAAAAAAGTTATAGGGGTGAGCCACTTTTGAGACGCAACCGGTATATGTATTTTATGATTTTACCGTATTATTAGAAGTACAAAAAAATCATGATTTTTTAAAAAAAATCCAAGAAATCGATTTATTTTATTTTAATCGGATTCTTTTTGATTTTAATAATTTTCTATTTAAGTCCTATCCTAAATGGCTAAATCTTCGTAACCGATATTGACAATATTAAAATTTTTACGGCGCGTGTCGTTTTTGGATTCCACATTGGCCATCGATATAGTTTATTCTGTAAACTTTGCCGATGCCTCTTTTTCTCCATAAAAGAATCGGCCGCTTAGATCAAAGGATTTTTTTGGGAATAGTCATGACTGTCTTAAGTCGGGGAGAATAAAATTAGTACCATCTAATGTTTAAAGTGCAAAGTGCTTATTGCAGAACAAAATGTCGGTAGAAATTTGGAATGTACTAGAAGATAAATTAGAGAAGGTGGAAGTTAGCTTGATCAACATTTAGCTGTTTCAAAAAAGGTATACAACAGCATTGACTCCAGCTTATCTTTTGATACTGATTAGTCCTCGGGAATAAAAATCCAAACTGACATCAGAAGAAACTAGTTTTGCATTAGAGTTTTCCAATGAAATGTATTCAAATACCGGATTTCTGACACTTCACAATTTCAAATAAATCTGGTGGGGGTGGGGGGTTGGTAAGGGGGTATGGGAGGGGGTTAAACATTTAAAAAAATCGTAACTCCAAAAAATTACAGTAGCTAGCGAAACGCGGTTTTCAAATTAAGATTAGGAATAATATTTGCAACAAAATTTGTAATAACATCAAAATCAGTCAAAGTCGCAGTTTTCGAGATATTAACATATTTTAGTATGGGCGGCTATACGTGCCTCCCGGCGCCAATTTTTTTTTAATTTAAAAGGCAAAATGTACCTTTATATGAGCGTATCATATCATTTTGTTACTTTATTGTTCACAGTATTTTGAAATCATTCAACTATAGGCTTGGTGCATTTCAGTTAATTTCAAAAAATTCCGACCGCAGCACCCGAACGGCTGAAATCAGCAGTTTTCGCTCTATATTTCACGCCGTCGCGGTTGCAGTTCATGTTGATCGCATTAAAATAATATTGAAATCGTGGTTTTGTAATAATATTTAAATATTTTAGTTTTTTGCTAGTGCAGTTATTGAAACTATAAAATACGCAAATAGGAGATTTATGTGATGTAACGCTGCTTCGGGTAGTAAAAATTAGAAAATTAGGTAGAAAAAATTCTAACGTTTAAAGAAGGGCGTAATTACGTGGTTGTTGGGTGCTCATACATTCAATAACTCAACTTTCCGGGACATTCAACTCTCCCGAAACAACATTTTATAGCTTCACAGCTTTTGACACCGATTTGATCAAAAGCAAAAATGGATTCAAGGATTTCGACGAAACAAGTGAGTAAACAAGGTGCCATTACATAATCAAGAAGTTGAATAGACATATACTATGAGTGGATAAAATATAATTTGCAATATTAATGGTATATTCTTTTTTTAACCAACTAGTGCTTGAATTTGCAACTAGTGCTTGAAAAAGAAACAGAAAAACTAAAATTATAATTATGTACCTTCAAAAAATGTCGTTTTAGCCGAAATAGCACAAGTTATGTCCCCTCTAGTAAAACCGGTACATAAAACTATGCTCGCTACGGTAGTTGGACTTATCTAAAAAGTTTTATTAGTTTCAGTCAGTAATATGAAATGAATACCGCTGTCATTTTATATGTAAAATTATGTGCGGAATATCATCAATCGTCATTTCCATGTCAACTGGACGCCGTTTTTTTTTTCGATCATATGGTACATATATTATGAGAATTTCGTGTAAAATTCAAAAATCAAAAAAACTATATGACGTCCTATTTAAAATAAGCAAATTGGGTCCACTTTCTTCCGGATAAACCGGCGCGGCAGTGCCGGAAAGTGGAAAATATTCTAAAGCGAAAGTACACCTACATCTTTCCGCATTGATAATCGTTGGTATCCGCGAGTTACCAGAAGAGTTATATAGTCTGGGTTTACATGCATCCGTAATGCGTCATCCGTCGTTGATTTGATGCAATTTTATTGGTTTATTTAAAAAATGACAGATCATACTTAAATATGATTGGAGTGACGGAACGACGGACGACGCATTACGGATGCATATAAACTCACCTTTACCAGTAACTATCGGTTGCGCGGTTGACGGTGCAAAGATGACGCTATTCATCAGCGTCATCTTGATCCCGTCGGTTGCGTAATGGATGAATGTCGGTAACTTATCTATATCGACGATTGCCGATGTGCTGTAGAACAGCCCTCATGGACACGGTAGACATACCAGTTCTTGTTGGTAAACTTTGCGATTTAAGCTTAATTCAGGACCTGGCAATTAGTGGAATAAATTAGTGGTTTCAATTAGCGTAGAAGTTTGTTTCTCTAATTTCAATGTAAGCATTCAGAACGTCCAAATTAGTGGTAGGAATTTTCATTTAGTGGAAAAAGTTACCAAACTTTTAACTTTTCCACTAATTATTCTACTAATTTTTAATACCATAAGTTTTCCACTAATCCTAAGATTTCACTACCGGTTCCAAAAATTAGATCGGTGAGATCGATACTGAACCGGTATACTTGCTGGACAGAAAGACCGGTTGGACTGGAAGACCGAATGAACCGGAATATCAGAAAGACCGAAAAATGAAAAATGGAAAAAGTACTGGAAACTGCTGTTCTTGGAGATATAAATGGAGCGGAAATAAGATCCTATTTTACATATTTTAAATAAAAGAGTAGACGCTATTGAATATCGGCCTGAGTTTTACAGACTTTAATTTATATAATGAACCAAACTATTAACAATGCCTTAAACATACATCAAAATAAATTACATGGCATGTTCCTGACCGTATTATAGCGAGTGATCGAAAAAAAACGGTGTTGAGTTGGCTTGGAAATGAACATCGATTACATTCCCTTATAATTTTACATATAAAATCACAGCGATCTCCATTTCATAGTCATCGCTGACGCAGTTTTTTTATCATAGGGTATCTAGAGTAGGAGAATACAATCAGCTTTGCACAAAAACCGGTACCGATATCATTTTATACAGGTTTTTTGTTTTTCATATTATCATGAATCTGTTTTTCTATATCGACTGAAATCGGTCTTCCGGTATCGATTGAAACCGGTCTTCCGGGACTGGTACTGAAACCGGTATACCGGTTTTGTAAAAGACGATACCGTTATCCGAATATTTGAAAAGTATCGGCCCTGATACCGGTATACCGGAAGACCGAACATGCCTATCGGAGACGTGTTTAGAATACCGCTAATAACTTGATTTTTTTTTAATGAATTAGTTGCGTGAAAAACCCTGTATATTCTAAAAACATATTAACGTTATATAATTTTTGTGTTTATTCTATTTTTTGGTCACGATTTAAAATATCAATTTACATTTTTTAGATTTATGCGAGGGCATATACAGAATGGATTTAGTGTTAAGAGTGGCGATCGAACACAACAGGAAGTTGAAAACGTGGAGTTCATGGAAAACTACGTCTTTTTCTCTAGAAAGTATTAAGCTGTTTGGTCAGTTTTTAGATTTAGAGGAACTAGACTTAGGATGGTGTTTTATTACGAATGACCCAGCAGATTGCTTATCGGAGATAGCACGTTGTCGAAAATTGAAACGGTAGGTAGACTATCTTATCGTTGATATTATACAGGATGTCCTTGAGTCAATTTATGTTAAACTACAACATCTAGTCTGGAGATTTTTGCATGTCCAGGAAAAGCAATATATATACCGGGTGTTTCTCAAAAGTGACTCACCCCTATAACTTCTTTATTTTTTTCAGAAAAAAAAGTAGATTTGGTACGTTAGTATATGACATAAATCAGAATTAATTGACCTATTCAATTGTTTTCGGTCACTTCTTATTTTACTGAAAATGACTATTTTTAAATGACATCCTCGGTATTTTTTTACTTTATTCGATAGGAAATGACACTCTAAGAATAGATATGGAATGAGATATCATATGTCAACTTTTTTGACATTTTCGTATATGGTTTATTTGAAATTGTAACATCCGGTTCATAACGACAACTTTTTTCCAAAGGTTTTTTCCAAATAATTTCTGAACTAACGTCGATATTTGGATGAAATTTGATGTCTGGATGTTTTTTGACATGAGCAATTTGGGAGTTCGATGTCAATATGACTCTATTTTTACGTAAAAAATGTCGTTTTCAAGACATTTTGAATGGAAATAGTCAATACATGTCATTATTGATAAAAAATAAGCATGTTTGCTAGATAGTTATTTGACTGAAATCATAAATTTTGGAACCTTGAATTTTATTAAGCTAATCATGAATTTATTTAGACAAAAAAATACGATAAAACAATTTCTGTTGAATCTTTGGCGCAAGAATATTTCAAATTTATATTTCTGACTAATAACTATCAACATGTATAATTTTTGTCAGTTATAACATTTATTGACTATTTCGATTTCTGACATTCTTTTATTATATTATTTCGATCTTGATAATTATGTAGGTAGCGCTCCCTACACGTAGAAGTCACACTGAGATAGAAATCGAATTTCTCATGTCAAAAAACACTCCGACATCAATTTTTATCTAAATATTGGCATTAGCTCAGAAATGAATTGGAAATTGCCGCATCCCGCATTTCGACCTCCATATCGTACGGTTTTGTCATTCTTCCTCCTTAAGAGCTCTATCTCTCATATACTGCTGTACTCCATCTAACCACGTAGTTGTAAGTCTCCCTCTTTTCCTTCTAGTAGTTGTTGTAGTAGTAGTTGTAAGTCTTCCTCTTTTCCTACTTCGCGGACGATACCTTTTTGGCCATATTTCCTCCTCTCTGATCTCATTTCTAACGTGCTCCATCCTTGATATTCGGCATGCTCTTCTGCGAAAGTCCATCTCTACTGACTCGACCATCCTTCTTTCTTTTGTCATAAATTGTCAGCATTCGGCCCCGTATGTTAGAATTGGCTCTATGATTGCTTTGTAAATCCTTAGCTTTGTTTGGATGTATGTTTTACTCGACTCCAGGAGAGGATTTAAAAGACCGATTCTTACCTTGCTGAACTCTGCTATGTATATCTTTCTTGGAATTTCCTTCTTCAGATACAATCCTTCTTAAATATTTGTATTCGCTGCACCTTTTAATTTCGTGTATGTGTAGTTCAGGATCTTCAGTTTGTTCTTCTACTTTAAGGTATTTGGTTTTTGTAAAGCTGATATTTTGTCCCCATCTAATGTCTTCTTCCTCAAGTTTTCTAAACATATAATCGGCACCCTCCTCACCACCTGCCATGGTAAAAATAAGGGCAACAGGAAGTGGTGGTCAATCTCTATTCACATAGCTCTACTCTTGCCTCTTCAGTTTTTCCAGGTGATAAACTGCACCCTTGTCTTAGTCCTTTTGATGTCAGGAAGGATTCCGATGATTTTTTTACTTATTTTTATTTGAAGAAAATAATGCCGAAGTTTCCTGAATACAATTCAAATTAGTCAATATCTGGAGAATAATATAAAAAATATCTGGAAAATAAATAAAAAACAATTTCTCGAAATGGGTCACATCTGAAAAACACCGACGCATTGATATAAAAAGACGTTAACAGCCTTAGCATAATAATATTACACACCTCGATATTGTAAATATAAATTGTAGTCTTGAAAATACACCGTCATCAGGCGAGTTCATTTGGTGCGGTGGTAGTGCGGGGTGTTGGCGTGGTGTGAAACATCCATAGTGCAATTAAAACACGCCGTAGTATTATTTGTCTCAAAAACATAACAAAACAATTAATATAAACATATAAATATTTTGTTTAGAGTTTAACTTTGGTTAAAAATGGCAAATAATACACTCATTTTTTTATAGATGTTACCAGACTCAAAATCACTGATCTTTGATGATAAAAATATAATATCTCTAGCCAGAGACATAAAATTTGCAATAAAGACTCAAAAGTATAATGTTGAAAATAAGCCATTTTAATGGAGATGTGACAAAAATCAGTCAGGGATATCTTGTATATTCCAATATTTATCCAGTTATTATGTATATAATATATCCTATCATAGATCAGGAATGAATGGGGGAGAATAAGTTTTATTGTTTTGTTTTAGTTTAGTTTTATCTTCGTGGAGAAGTGTTAGCGATGAGATACTCTTACCTATAATTTTATCTTGCAAGGAACTCGTGCAGATTGATTTAATGGGAATTAAAGGCATTACTTCTGAAATTTGTGAACGAGCGTTATATATGCTGCCTAAGTTAAGATTATTGGATATAAGTTTTTGCGATGATGTACGACAAGATGAGGTTGGTATATATTTTTTTGCTTCATAGGATATTATGTCAAATGATGTGTGGTGTTTAGGTTGAGATTTGGAGACAGCAATATCCGCACATAAAAATTCAGAGAAGTTGCCAATATACATCAAGACCTACGTTATTTCATTAAAATTTTAACTAGTCAAAATCAATTAAAATAATAGTGCAATGAGGAAAATGTTTTAAATATTGTTATAGTTTATTAATAAAAAATAATGCTATCCATTAGTATCAATTTATATCTATTTTCAAAATAATCTTTGGATTAGTTCATTTTATCCATTTTTGTCCATTACTTAAAAATTAGAATTTATAAACAAAAAACTAAATTGCCAATAATTAGTGTATATAAAAAAATGAAAACATAAGTCAAATAACGATTTCTGCGTTAAGGGCATATCTAAATAAGGACAAATCAATTAAGTTGTTACAGGAAAAAAAAAGAAAAAGAATAAAATATAAAAATTACATTAACTGAACAAAGAAATAGTTAAATCGTTGATTGAAAGAATTGGGAAGGTACGCAACCTGATGGACAAATTAATAATAATAAAACAAAAGGCTGATTTGATTTCCCCCTACGTCTCACGTGCTGTACGGTGGAACCTCTGCGGTCAACGCATAAAACGCTCACTTTCTCTAATTCGGCTAGCGAAGGCATATCGAAGACGGTGTGGAACTGAAAGCGACTGTGTTGCCATATTAAAATGTGTAATATCTGTAATAAGTTTGACGAAAATATGCATTGAAAAATGGCGTTTATGTATTGAAAATTTATTCGTGTTAAACATAGAATAAGCAACAAAAATAGAAATTTATTCATAGGTACTGAATATTTCGTATGATCGAAAAAAGTCGTTGAGTTGGCTTGGAAAAGACGAACTATTGACATTTACCATAATATTTTACATATAAAGTAACAGCGACCTTCATTTTCAAGCCAACTCTGACGCCGTTCTTTGTTTAATCATGTAATATTATATTACATTGTTTAATGATAGAAAATCCGTATTATTAACGTACTGTACCCAAAATCCGTAAATCTACGGATTAATCCGTAGTTCTGGCAACACTATCTCGGGCAACCACCCACTCTGTCGACTGAAAGCAGAACTAAGGTACACTATACTTTATCTGCCGCGCTGCAGAGGAATATCAGCGCACAGTCGCGCAGAGCTAAACTTTAATCTCGGACAGGTTGACTAGCGGCGACGCGACGGTATCGGCGGGTTTGTGCCATAAAATTGTCTATATAGTACATGCGGTCCATAAAAAAACGTAGCAAGTTGGGTTAAAAGCATGAAACTTGGCATAGTTGTTTAATAGGTCATTTTAAGCTATTCTAAAATTTCACCCGTTGGGGTAGGGTTGCAACCCTTATTTATTTTTTAAGGGGTTAAATTTTTTTACAAATTTATTTCAATGTTTTTTTTTAATTTTAGTGTCTTTTTTGACTAATTTGAACATGAAGATTTCCAAAAAAATACGCCAATTTTGTATAACCTAGCGTTTGGGCTGTACGGCTGTAATATTTGATTTAAGTCTCAAAATTTCATTCTTTAACATATTTACCGTATGCTGACCAAAATGCTGGATATTTTTGTAAGTTTTGGTACGAAACATGTAATTAAATTTGTGACAACCCCATGGGCGCATCCATGGGGGGAGAAGGAATGTTACCCCCCCCCCTTGGATGCGCCGTTAAGGATTCTTTGTACCAATTTGGGCAATACTACACTTCTACTGGGACTAACGTTTTGTATAATAAAAAAAAATAAGTTTAAGCTGGCTTCACATTATAGGAGTTACAATTCTGAATAATACTTTCCAGATTACTTACATACTTTCTAGACTTTTACACATAACCGTATCTACTTGCTCATCTTTAACATTACGACTACTTCTTTTGTATAGACGTGCCAAACACTTTAGATGGCATATGGCTTCTTGGGCTACCAAATCGCCTTCTGCCAGTACGGCTAGAAGGCGCGTATCACCAACAATTTTAGCAGAGTGCTCCACCTCTTTATAAATTGTCTCTGTAGCACACAAATGTAAAACATTTTTTTAGCCGAGCATGCCAATAGGTATGGTAGGCTATTAGGATCGGCAAAAAAAAAGTTTTTTTAATTTCACTCAAAATGAGTTTTGGGTAATAAATGACCTAAATACAAAATATTTTCGTGGTGTCTGTCTGTCTCTGTCTGTCCGTCTGTCCGTCTGTAACACGATAACTCAAAAAACGCTGAACCGATTTTAACCAAATTTGGCACAAAAATACTGTGGCACCCGAGAATCTGGCCATTAGTTTTTGGTGGGGGTGGGGGGTTGGTAAGGGGGTATAGGAGGGGGTTAAAAATTTAAAAAATTCGTAACTCCAAAATTACAGTAGCTAGCGAAACGCGGTTTTCAAATTAAGATTAGGAATAATATTTGCAACAAAATTTGTAATAACATCAAAATCAGTCAGAGTCGCAGTGTTCGAGATATTAACATATTTTAGTATGGGCGGCTATACGTGCCTCCCGGCGCCAATTTTTTACCTGGTTCAGTGCATATGAAACAAACATATTATTTTACATTTACCAATGATGCAGTTGATCTTGTTGCTCGAGCACAGTGGTGAAGCTATGGGGGTGATGGGGGGGGGGATGCTCCCCCCAATGTATAATTGAGTTGGGAAATTAGTCATGACAACGCGACGTCTAAATCCCAAATTTGTCAAAAATAAAAAAAAAATTGCCGCCGCTGCACTAATGTGAAGCGGATATTGCCATCAACTTAGATTTACAAAAAATAATAACAACTTGGGCCACTTTGAAGACCAGACGACTAGTCTATACTAATATACATATGTATAAAATCCTTAAGTGACTGACATACTGATTAATCACGATCCTGCTCAAACCACTCAACGTAAGAAGCTCAATTTTGGCATACAGGTTGATTCTAGGGTGTAGAAGTTCGATAAGAAGGGATTTTTCGAAATTCCAGTTCCAAGAGGGTGAAACCACCCCTCAATATCTGTCATAAACAACATAATGATTAATATTTGGTTCGTTGCTCAATATAAATTATTATAATATATTAATTTATATTGCTTCTTTTGTTTATTCCGCTATACACAGTCAGTGGCGTCACTTAAACCAGGTTAAAAATTGTTAAAAGTATAAAAATTACGATATTGCGTTTATTTCTAGGGTAGGATGATAAACATATCAGTTTAACGTTGTTTATTGATAATAATAATATTAATAACAATAATTAATAATTGAGTTATTAGTTTTTAGTTAAATTTGATAAAAATATGTCACCAAATATTATACAATTGGCGTTGGCATTAAAATTTTGAATATTTTTAACCTTTTTCATAAAAAAAGGGTAAAACCATCATCATAAGGGGTGAAATTTGAAGTGCTCAAATCATTTAAAATGGTCTAAATAACAACTCTGGCGAGTTTCATGCTTTTAACCCAATTTGCTACGTTTTACCCTATTTTGAGGGTCTGCCGCATAGACTAATAAGGTTGCGCATCTTATTTCTTCAACAGTTAAATATTTTTTTAAAGTTTGATGCCCTCTAACGGACAAATGAAGCACATTTGTATAGAGGCAAATTGTGTCTAATGAGCTTATTTTCATTCCAAAAATACGTAGTCCTCGGAATATTGGGACAAGCTGTATAGAAACTGATAGTTTTATCGAAAATATTTGAATGTTTGCTTAAAAACCGAGTTTGTTATTATTCAACCAAAAACTTTTGGAGTAAAAAGTATATACATATGTAAAAAGGTATATGTAAACAAATTCTTATTTATTTTAATATTTACATTCATTTTTCATTAAAAAGTTGTTACTTAAGTAAACTATATGCAATTGTTGCTAATATTCCTATTATTTTATGTACCGTGTGTTGCACTGCCGACCTGAACATAGGAAGTAAACTAAATGCAATTGTTGCTAGTATTGCTATTAGGTTATGTACCGTGTGTTGCGCTGCCGACCTGAACATAGGTTATCCTATATAAATTTTAAAAATGATGCGTAAAAGTTCCCCATTTTATTTTAGAGAAAAACTTTTTAAAAAACTCTTTAAAATGAAGCAAACATAACAATTGATAACAGTCACAAATTTACTATGTCACAATATGACAAATCTTTTCTACAGAGCAGTTAAAATAATTTAAATTATTTTCTTTATGAAAAGTATAAAGTGTAATTGTAAAACCACTAATTTCGAGGTTCTGAATGCAGCTTTAAGCTTCATTCAGAACCTCGCAATTAGTGGAATAAATTAGTAGTTTCAATTACATTTTATACTTATAGTAGGAGAGTTAGCAACGTCGGAAAAACAGGTATTTTAAGACGTTTGGCTCTTTGATATATCTTTTACTATGCTCTCTAGAACAGCATGCGGCCCGTCTGGCTGCCGGTAAACGTTGCGTTCCCTACTGCGCATTGAAAGAAGATCCTATATTTTTATTAGTCCTTTAAATTCTAGTATTGAATATAAATCGAACATGTCGCCATAGCGCAGTGCGTAGAGTTTCCGACCACGAACCGATGATTCAGAGTTCGAATCCGGGTCAGGACAAATACTTTTTTATTTTATTTTCGTTTATATTCTGATAGTAAAGTATTAAATATTTGTTTTTTTAATCACCAGATTTATTTAATACTTTACTATCAGAATATAAACGAAAATAAAATAAAAAAGTCGTTGCCCTGACCCGGATTCGAACTCTGAATCATCGGTTCGTCGTCGGAAACTCTTCGCACTGCGCTATGGAGACATGTTCGATTTATATTCAATACTAGAATTTATAGGACTAAAGCTTGATTTTCATGCATCCGTTAACCGACGATACGTTGATATGATATTAATTTTATTGGTAGAATTTATAAAGTCTTTAATTGGTTAGAAAATAACGCAGTTTTTAAATTTATTGCATTTTTATGCCTCAGTTTATCGGATATACGTTGGTGTTATTTTATATTTTCGTTTCCATAACGATTTTACTATTTTACTTATATTTTTATTAAGGTTAGATTAAATTTGTCAAAAAAATGTCAAAACGTCCGTTATCGTATGAACGGGTCCGTTGACGGGCTGAAGTAAAATATCTACGGACGAAAAGTGGCGTGAAAATGCTATGACCAATCAGAGCACCGTCGGACCATCGTATCAACGTATAACTGATGCATGAAAATCAAGCTTAAGGCTGCAT